CGACTGCGTAGAGTTACAGTAGAGCGACTGCGTAGAGTTACAGTAGAGTGACTGCATAGTTACAGTAGAGTTAGAGGAGAGCGACTGCGTAGAGTTACAGTAGCGTTAGAGCAGCGCGACCGCGTAGAGGACAACAAAACAGAGGAAGAGCATCACGTTTTTTGCAGGGTGATCAGAAGATAACAGTTCTTTCCATATTCTAGTTAAGCTGTTTTCAATTTTTATTTAATTTTTGTTGGAGTGTTGCTAATACAACTCATTCTGTGCTCCCTAGACATTTATATTTAGATGTCATATTATTATGTTATTACATTGTTCCCTTCAATAGATATACATCTGCTTTCTGTGGCGTGACGCGTGGGCCGTCTCTTTCCTCAGGTGGTCACCGGCGGTCACTATGACGTGGACTGTCGTCTGGAGGATCCGGATGGGACGGTCCTCTATAAAGAGATGAAGAAGCAGTACGACAGCTTCACCTTCACCGCCTCCAGGAACGGCACGTTCAAGTTCTGCTTCAGCAACGAGTTCTCCACCTTCACGCACAAGACCGTGTACTTCGACTTCCAAGTCGGCGACGACCCTCCGCTTTTCCCCAACGAGAACCGAGTGACGGCTTTAACGCAGGTGATGAGTTACACTCGCTGCATTAGCGAGTCTGACCAGATCTGTGCTTTCAGTCGTGCTCCGGCAGAGGAACATGGCCTTGTTGTTTATATAGCATGTGTTATTGATTGCCAAAATCATCACAACACTAGTATTTCCAGCAGCTAACAAATGTGTTGAAGTCAGTTATTTCTATCGTTTGCTGTAGTGTGTCAGCAGGAAATATCTGTTTACATTTCCAAACATTCATTTGGCCATTAATTGTAATAATGCAGTGAGCTCTGATCTGATCATCATCAGTCTGTCTGGAGTCACATGAAGAAACAGAACAAACTGCTGCGACCGCGTCTAATGCTGCTGCTTTGTTTCAGATGGAGTCCGCCTGCGTCTCGATTCACGAGGCTCTGAAGTCTGTGATCGACTATCAGACGCACTTCCGTCTGCGAGAGGGTCAGGGCCGCAGTCGAGCGGAGGATCTGAACACCAGAGTGGCCTTCTGGTCCATCGGAGAGGCCTTCATCCTGCTGGTGGTCAGCATCAGTCAGGTGCTGCTTCTCAGGAGCTTCTTCTCAGACAAGAAAACCACTACAACCCGCGTGGGGTCATAACCGGGTCGCGTCGAAGGGGTTTTATACAAATGAGTTATTTAAGCTTAAACACTTTGAGCTTGTTTCTCTAGTCCTGTGTGTGATCCTCAGCTCGTATCCTGCAGAATATTTCAGCGCTGAGAATCAAACTGCTTTATTTATTTTGTGGCTGTGTGTTGACTCTTTACATGTATGTGAATGTTAAAGGATGTACAGACACTGTAGACCGGCTCGTATCATCATCATCATCATCATCATCACCCGTTCAGTCTTCATGTTGAATCCAAGAGAGCTTTATGTTGTACAAAACAGGCATCCTTGCAAATGTTTCCTAGTCGTCTTTTTCTTTTCATGACGCTGGTGTAATTGTGTTTCTTTTTTTTTAGCGGTGCATTGATTTCTTGTTTGAATTGGTTAATAAATGTCTGGAGGAGCTCTACAGTCCTTTTCAAGTGCACATCTTATCAAGTATAATTTATTTTAAGCTGCAAGAAGAGAAATCTAAGGTTCACTGCACAGAATCTGATCAGCTGAGGTGGATTAAAAGGCCTTAAGATGGCTTCGTTTGTATATGTCTGGTTGTGTATTGATTCGTTCAGGTGTGGATCTGTCTGTGCATAAACTACAGCAAAACTCACCAGTTTAAAGGATTGTTTCACACTTTACACTAGCCTAGTTTGTAATCGCTCATAAAGCATAACTACAGCAGAGCTCTGCTCTTTGCCTCCTCTGATCAGCATTAAACAAGCTGTGTAACGACACCTTAATGCCACTTCACAAGCATTTTTGTGCCACCTTTGCAGTGTAAACGTGACATTGGCTGTGTAAAGATGATTATTAGTGTGCACAGGTTGCTTCAGTATTGAGTCACCGCTTGTGATCACATTCGTTTGCATTTAGCATGAAAGCAAATGTTTTCTTTGTACAGTTCCCACAGTTGTAAGAAAAATAAAGCAGAAACGTGAAATCAATGATGCGTAATAAATCCATTTTCTTTTTTAAAGCACTTTACTGGCATGATTGTGCTTACATACAACACTGGCAAAGCATGCGCAGATCAAGTAGTAAGCAGAAAAATCAATATACATTTAATAATTGAGTTAAATCTCTTTTTTTGGGCGCATTTTACCTGTAAAAGAAAACCTGCTTAATAATTATGCACACCTGAGTAAGGCATTTTTGGGTCATTCCTGGGATCCTGTGCCTTTTGGACATCATAACACTTAAAAAATGATTTAAATTTTTTTTTTAATTATTGTATAATCATAATGGGGAGCTGTAAAACGTGAAAAATTATTTTGGTATATAAATATATGGTATATACAACCATAGGTATATAAATTCAAGCAATTATGAAGCAAATTAAATGAGGAGGAGGACCAAAAATGTCCACCCTGTTAGGGACAAATGAACAACAATTTAAAATATTTCTGAAAATGTAAAATTTCATATTTAAAAAGTTTAAATACACCACTTCTTCAACTGCTGTCACTGTCACTGTGCACACTACATGTGTCCAGCCTCTCAGGCGTTCTGACTCCACCGGGTGGAAGTTTTGAGCTAAAATCAGTCTGAGAAAAAGTGCTAACACTGAAGATCTGTCAAACTAAGAATTTAAAAATATGGTACTTTTACAAATAAGAATTTCTATTTACTTTTATTTCACATCCCCCTTAACAGGGTGGACACGTCGAATCAGATTGGAAAGATAAAATAAGCAAAAACAGACAATTAACCAAACAGAGGCTCTCCTTCACCTTCCCCAGTGGTTTTACGGACACAAGCGCTGGCGGTGAGTAACGACACGGTAATGACCCACAGCACGGCTCTGTTCGCTACAGCACAGCACACGGGTGCAACGGTGTAGTTTGAGGTAAAAGCTAACGCGGAGCAGCTGTGATGCTAGCTCTGAGTGAGCCGTGCTGGATGTCAACACTGAGCATATCTGTACATATACTGACTCGAACCCTGACTGGTCGTCATTATAGTGAATGT